AAGTGGTTCCAAAAAGAAGAGTCAAGAAGTTTTGGGGTAGACTTCGGACAACAAACGGCAGAGAGGCCCAGTAGTCCTAGGCAGCACAGTTCAGATCCATTTTTCCTGTATCGAGTTCTTGTTCAGGGAGAGGTAGTTATGGTGGGATCACTTGTTTAAGTGTGTTCAGCTGGGCCACAAGTCTTCAATTTACCTGCATAAAGAAGGAGGGTAACAGTCTGCACCGACTTCGACTCGTCCTTAGAGCCAAAGTTAGAGGAGATGGCAGCCGCCTACCTGTTATCAGTGTGGGCAGTTGGGGCACTTGAAGAGGTTTTGTCCTTAGGCAGGTGGCACATTTGGTGTGTTTGGTTCAAGGCAAACATAAAGCCATCAGCCTACCCATTCAACACAAGCCTCGAGAGTTACTCAAGAAGCCTCTTTGTCTCAATCAGTGTACTAGTCTTATGCTTCGAAGGGTGAACAAGTAGAGTAGGGGCCCACAAGGCGTGTGTATGTTGTTACCATGCCAGATGAGTTGCCAGCATCCTCTGTTATAAGAGGTAAGTTTCCATTGTTCAATTTTATTGTCAATATGTTGTTTGATATTGGTGCATCCCATTCTTTCATTTTGCCTACATTCACATCTTTTTTGGAGTTAGAGATGGCTCAGTTAGCGTCTTCGCTCAGGATAGAGTCACTAGTTGGGGGTAAGGTTATCTTTGATTGGGGATGTTGCAATTGTGAGATAGAGGTTACCGATCGCCGACTTCCTTTTACTTTTATATTGTTAGACATGTCGGGTTTCGACATCATTTTAGGCATAGACTAGTTGTCTTCGTACCGTGCTGTCATAAATTGTTACTGTCAGAGGGTTACGGTGTGCACCTCGAGTGATGTCTGTTTTTATTTTCTAGGGGATTGAGCTGATAAAGTTTTATCGCCAATTTATGACTCGCATGGTCGGGACGAGTTTAGTTGTCTTCTTCCAGCTTTCTTGGTTAGTGAGAGTGATGTGGTCTAAGTTAAACTATCGAGGGTAGTTTGTGAATACCCAGATGTCTTTTCCTAAGATCTTACTAATTTGCCACTTCACCGAGAGATTGAGTTCTCTATTGACTTAGTACCCGACACGACACCAATTTTCACAGCACCGTATAGATTGCACTTGCCGAGTTGTATAAGTTAAAGATTCAACTCCAAGAGCTATTAGATATGGGCTTCATTCACCCTAGTACATCACCTTAGAGAGCACCAACTATTTTTGCTAAGAAGAAAGATTGCACATTGCGACTGTGCATCAATTACTAAAAGTTGAACCAGGTAACTGTTAAAAACAAGTACCCATTACCTCGTATAGATGATCTATTTGACCAGTTGAAGGGGTCCTCTTATTTTTCTAAGATTGATTTGAGATCGAGTTATCACCAGCTGAGGGTGAAGGAGGAGGATATTCAAAAGACGACATTCCATACGCGGTATGGTCACTATGAGTTCTTAGTGATGCCTTTTGGGCTAACCAATGCATCGGCTTCATTTATGGATTTGATGAATCGAATCTTTCGTGAGTTTTTAGATAGTTTCGTGGTTGTCTTTGTTGATGACATCTTAATCTACTCACCCTCTGAGGAGGAACACTTGCAGATTGTACTTGAGTTGCTTAGAGCATACTGTTTGTAGTCTAAGTTCAGGAAGTGCGAGTTTTGGCTAAAGAAAATTAAGTTTCTAGGCCATGTGGTATCTAGGAAAGGAGTGACAGTAGATTTTTCTAAGATTGAGGCAGTGCAAGATTGGGAATAACCTAAGAATGCCTTTGAGATCCGGAGTTTCTTAGGCTTAGCCGAGTATTACCAACGTTTTGTAAAATACTTCTCTAGATTGGCCTCACCATTGACTAGATTGACAATGAAGGGGATTAAATTTGCGTGGAGTGAGACTTGTGAAAAGTCATTTCAAGAGCTTAAGGTTAGGCTCACCACTGCTCGAGTATTGATTATTTTGGAGAGGGGTTTGGGTTATTCAGTTTATTGTGATACGTCTCGAGAAGGGTTGGGTTGGATTGGGTTGTGTATTGATGCAAAAGGGGAAAATGGTAGCATACAGCTCGAGGCAGTTAAAAACTCATGAGAGAATTTATTCTACTCACGACTTAGAGCTAGAGGCGGTGATTTTTACGTTAAAGATCTGGAAGCATTACTTATATAGTGAGAGATTTTAGGTGTTTTCCGATCATAAGAGTTTGAAATATCTGTTTTCACAGAAAGATTTGAATTTGAGTTAGAGAAGATGGATGAAGTTTATAGAAGATTATGACTTTGAGTTGCACTATCATCTGGGAAAGACCAATGTAGTGGTCGATGCTTTGAGTAGGAAGTCTGTAAGTAGTAAAGCTAGTATTGCCATCCGGGAATAGGAGATGTTGAGTGCTATTAGTATTAAATTATAACTTGATATTATAAATAATTGTTATAAAATTAAAAGTGATTCTAATTATTTAAGAAATTCAATATAATTTAAGAAATTCAATATAATTAATATTATAAAGAAGATAGACATAAAAATAAGAAATAATTTTAATATTTTATTTAAAAACTATTGAAAAAAACTATAATAAAATTAATTAGTAAAATATTTTTAGTATATATAATTTAATTAGGTTTTGTTTATGGATAATTTAGATTAAGTTAAAGTATTTTAAATATTAAATTTTAGAAAAAGTTTCATTTTAATAAAAAAAGAATAAAAAAAAAGAGATGCAGTAAGAGAGAGAAAAATTAAGAGCAAATAAGGTTGTGTTTGGAGAAACTCTCTAAACACATTTTCACCCATTGATTTAATGTGGTATTTGTTTTGAGTTTTCAAATTATAATTCTACACCCACTTTTGAAAACTCTTTTCTAAGCGGGAAAATTTGGCTAACTCAGACGTCTGGCCGATCGATTGGAACAATGTTAGATTTGTTTTTTTTTTTTTTTTTTGTACTTGTTACTATGAGAATGGCTTTTTTTAAATAAAAAAATTTTAAATTTTTTTATGAGCTTTGAATAGAACTTTGGGTTATGTATTTGGTTATGAGTTGTAAGTTTTTGAATTAAATATCATATGTCACATCATTTATTTCAAACTCAATTCAAAACTTTTTTTTAAAATTCATAACCAAACAAATTTTCTACATTCAACTTATAATTCCAAAACTCACAAACTCAAAATACAATTCTATTCTCAAATCATATTTAGTAAATTCTATCAAACGCTACCTAATATTTTTAATAATATATATATATACACACTAGCGTATGCTCGTACCAGAAGGCACAGTATAAATAATGTTAGGATTAGAATATAATTATAATCCCAACATTATTTAAATTTATTTTTTAACTTGATAAAATCACAAATTTTAGAATTCTCACAAAACTCTTTACGAAAACTCGCTTTTGCTTATATAATATTTAGCTAGACAGATAGATGCGCTTGACATACATACAATTTCCACAGACACACATATAATATTGCTTCTACTTATATAATTATATAAAAATTGTATGTATGCCCATAATGTCCTAGTGTGTTACGGGCATACATACATTCTATAGAAATATGTGTAAAATTAAGTGAACAAAAAAGAGAAGAAAATAAAAAAAACAAACAAACAAATAGAGAGAAAAATAAAAATGAGAGAAAATAAAAAAAAATAAAAAGAAAAGAGAGAGGGAGGTGGGATCATTGGATCATGAAAAGATAGTTTAGAAAATAAAAAAGTGAGAGAGAGAAGCGGGAAAATAGAGAATGTACATGTAGAATATTTTTTGAAAAATATATCTTAGCCGTTGTTTTATAATTTGAATAGATCTAACCCGTCCAAATGTCCTATTAGGACAAATGTGTGTAGGACAAATTCAAAAACCATCCTGCTTTATTATATAGATGTTGAACATTCATATAAGGTTTAAATTTATGAAGTCTATCAGGTATTCAATATATTTAAAAATAACAATTAATTGTTAAGTTTCATTTAATTTGTGGACTATAAAATTCATTAATTTAATTTCTACTACACATAGTAAAATCTGACTCCTAATTCTAGGATCGTAGACTTTTCCATATAATATGAATAAAAATAAGTGAAGAAAAAGAAGAAAATAAAAAAATAGAGAGAAAAACAAAAATGGGAGAAAATAAAAAAAAATAAAAAGAAGAGAGAGAGAGAGATGGATCATGAGATCATGAAAGAATGGGTGAGAAAAGAAAAAAGTAAGATAAAGAAGCGGGAAAATAGAAAATGTACATGTAGAATATTTTTTGAAAAATATATCTCAGCCGTTATTTTATAATTTGCATAGATTTAAACTGTCCAAATGTCCTCGTAGGACAAATGTGTGTAGGACAAATTCAAAAACCATCCTGTTTTATTATATAGATGTTGAACATTTATATAAGGTCTAAATTTATGAAATCTATCAAACATTCAATATATTTAAAAATAATAATTAATTGTTAAAATTCATTAATTTAATCTACACTACACACAGTAAATCTGGTTTCTAATTCTGGGATCGTAGACTTTTTCATATAATATGAATAAAAATAAGTGAACAAAAAGGAAAAAAAACAAATAGAGAGAAAAAATAAAAATGGGGGAAAATAAAAAAAATAAAAAGAAAAGAAAGAGGAAGGTGAGATCATGAGATCATGGAAGGATGGATGAGAAAAGAAAAAAGTAAGAGATAAAAACGGAAAAATAGAAAATGTACATATAGGATATTTTTTGAAAAATATATCTCAGTCATTGTTTTATAATTTGAATAGGTTTAACCTGTCCAAATGTCTTAGTAGGACAAATGTGTGTAGGACAAATTCAAAAATTATCATGTTTTATTATATATATATATATATTATATAAATATATGTTTTGTTAGTATTTATTAATGAAAAAAATGACACGGTCTGTGTAAAAGACAAAAGTACCCTTTGTCCTAAAATGAAAAGCATCAAAAAGGAAAAAAAAAAAAAAAACTGTAGATAATAGAGAAGAGAGAGAGAGAGAGAGAGAGAGAGAGAGAGTTGTCAGCTGAGAAAGGTAATGGGGAAGAAGACACAGAGCGAGAGAGAACTCAACGAGAAGAAGGAAAGCCTAGCCCACTTTTCTTCTTCAATCTTCCATTAAAGCTCTCTCTTCTCCTGCAGATCTCTCTCTCTCCTCGAACCACACGAGCATATATACTTCCCTTTTTCTCTCTCTCTAGAATCCACCTTCTATGGTTATGGTTCGTCACTAACAGAGAACACTAATGGGCTGTTGCGAATCCTCTTTCTTCAAAGAAACTCTCTCCGGTAAGGATCACCGCCACGCCCAAAACCGCCCCTCCAACGGCACCGCCACCACTGTCTCCGCCGTGGGCGACGGCGCCGGTGGTGGCGTACCGACCTTCTCCGAGTTCTCCTTCTCCGACTTGAAATCCGCCACCAACAATTTCAGCTCCGAATTCATCGTCTCGGAGAGCGGAGAAAAAGCCCCCAATGTCGTCTACAAGGGTCGCCTCCAGAATCGCCGGTGGATCGCTGTCAAGAAATTTACCAAAATGGCCTGGCCCGATCCGAAACAATTCGCTGTACTAAATTGCGATTATATGATTGATTGTTTGTTTGTTTTTTGTGTTCGTTGATTGTTTTAGGGTTTGTTGAATTAGGGGCTAATTTTGTTTTCTTTTGGGATTGTTTTTCAAGGACGAAGCGTGGGGGGTTGGGAAGTTGAGGCATAAGAGGCTTGCCAACTTGATTGGGTATTGCTGCGATGGTGATGAGAGGTTGCTTGTGGCTGAGTACATGCCCAATGATACCTTGGCCAAACATCTATTCCACTGTATGTTTATTTAAATTGGTTCTATTTTCTGATTCAATCATGCAATTATTAATTCGATTCAAACTCAATTTTCTTTGATTCTGAGCTTAAAATTTAAATAATTTTGTTACCATATATTAGTTAATTGAATTCTTTTCAGGATCACCTAAATATTTTTCCCAAACTTTTAACTTCCTGGCTTTTTATGTTTCACGTAGGGTTCTACTATTTTTTAAATATGATGGAAGTAAAAGGAAAAAGTAAATGCTTTGATAAATTGCATTTCTCTTCATTGCATTGCATTCTTGTTTTGTGTTTGAGTGAAGTATTTAAGACTCTGGGTTTTATTTTCTTGTAGTGGAATATTGCTCTCACTTTGGTCACGTTGAGCTGTTGATGGATATGGTTTTGCTTGAATTGGGTTCACCGATATACCTTCAAGGTTTCTAGGGGTTTTTTTTTTTTGGTGCCTGAAAGTCACAGTTACATATATGTGGAATGTATGGTTAATATTGTGGAATAATCATGGTTGGGGATGGTTTCTCTTTTGTGCATGGCAGAATTTATAAATGGTCTATAAGCCTAAAGAATTATGGAGTCTAGGAAATAGTTTGTAACTACATATTTGAAGCTAACATTTTGGTATTTGGTAATAGAACCGTAGGATCAAAGTTGCATACATAACTTCAGAATGCTGTGTCATTTAGTTGGTGTAGTTTAAAATTGAGGTTAGAAGGACAAATAGATGGTTTAGAATCTTAAGTTTTAGAAGATGCATTTATTACTGGATATATGGGAGCTAGTTTGAGGGAATGGTGAGAATGAGGTGGATTGGGATGTTGTCACTGATTCTATTCAATTTAAGGAAATTTTTATATAATAACAATAGAGTGGGGAGGCTTCATGACATGAAAAAGTATTGACTGTGTAGATATTGAATTGTTGACCATCATCTCATCCAAAAGCTTAAGCTATTAGAGAGAGGGACAACTTTATTATTTATATTATATACTCAACACACCCCTTCACATGTGGCCGGGCGGGCTCTCCTCCATAAGCAAGCCAAACTCATGCATATATTTTTAATTATCGGGTAGGCGGTAGGGTTCGAACACGAGATTTGTTGCCTTCTTTGATGCAATTCTTTATTATGCTAAGATAGTGATTTGCATGTGCGTGTGTGTGCACAATTTCATATACATATCTGTTTGTTGGCAATATTTATCTTTCTTGAAAGTTAATCTTTTCAAAATTTTCTCTTTAGTTTAGGAATAATAGTATAAGATTGTACTTCTCTTAATCCATTTGAAGGATAATTTTCACATCATAGGGATGTTGTTCTTTCCAATTTGTTGACATAAGGATGGTCTTTTGTTTGTGAATATCTAAATTCAGCTTATACTTGCTTCACAGGGGAGAACCAAACCATTGAGTGGGCCATGCGCCTAAGAGTTGCTCTATATATTGCCGAAGCATTGGATTATTGTAGTACAGAAGGGCGTCCTCTGTACCATGACTTGAACGCATATAGGGTTCTCTTTGATGAGGTGTTGTGATGGATCTTTTTAAGTTTGAATAATTATCTGGTTATTCCTCATTGGGTGATAAATATTGTTCCATTCTTCTACATAAGTCTAGTTACAGTTAGACATCATTACATAGAGGATCTTTTTAAAAATAAGTATATATACACATAGGCCCTGTTTGTTTCGCTGGATATAAAATGGAGGATATAATTTGACGTGGGATTTAGTCAATATATATAATGAAGAGGATATATGTTTTGGATAATATATTCGTCAATTCATGTTTGTTGACTTGATATATAAGACTGAATATGTATTATCCATCCTCATTTTACAAAATATATTGTGGGATATAAACAAGTAATTTCTAAGATTGCCCTCATAATATATTTTAAATACCTATATTGGAACTAATGCAAATAAACAAATTAAAAATTCATATTATTTTTTATTGGAACAAATTAAAGATTCATATTAAATTCAATAATTTTTCCAAGCAAAAAATAAATTATATTATATTAATGTCAACCTGATAATGATAAAAAAAATTATATTATATGAAATTCAAAAATTATATTAAATTCAATTCAATAATATTATATTATATTAAATTCAAAATTTATGTTAAATTATATTATATTATATTAAATTCAATAATATTAAATTAAATTCAATAATTATATTATATTAAATTCAAAAATTATATTATATTAATTAGATAGACAAGAGGGTAAATTGGATTTTTTAAATCATATCCCAACCTATGGGATATGATATAATGGTATTGTACATCCTCCAATTTTGGGGGATATACAATCTCATAGTATATTATATCCTCTTTAAAAAAAATTGCAAACATGGGATATGTGAACCTCACGGTATATATCCAATCCCACCCTTTATATCATGGATTCAAACAGGGCCATAGGGTAGAGGATCTATTAGGTTTAGTTGAAGCTAAGTCTCTTTGGTTGGTTTTGGCAGAATGGTGATCCACGGCTTTCATGTTTGGGCTTGATGAAAAACAGCAGGGATGGTAAAAGTTATAGCACGAATCTTGCATATACACCTCCTGAGTATCTCAGAAATGGTAAACACTTCTTTTAGTTTTTAATTTTATTAATTGTTGGCAGTCATGGTCCTTGCAAAGATAAAGCAGAACATCTATATTGTAATGCTGGACTTGGGAAGGCATAATTTTATAGTTTTGTTTTGAAAATAATTTGTTAATGATAACAAACATCGTGTTAAAGGAAGGGGCAAGTCCCATTTACATGCGATATACAAAATAAAGACTTCTAAAGAAGCATCAATGAAGGCTTAAAGAAGTCTATAGAAACTGCTGAAGAAAGAGTTCCCACTGAGTAAACTGGCATTGACACCCATAAAACAGATTTTAGATGACATCAATAAAATTTGAGGGAGGGGTGGAGGAGGATGTAGGATTTTCAAGATATCTACTATTTGCTCCCTTTTGGATACTCCAAATGAGAGAAATGTTCAGATGAGAATGGTGCATATATCACCAGATACACCACAATTAATGGTCATCCATCCATGTCAACTTCAATCTTGATTATGGAACTTAATAATCACAAGAAACTGAAAATTGAAGCAAAAGACGATAGACTATTTAGGACATTGCATGCCCAAGATTTGTTGGAAATCACTTTCTTCGTGCTGATAAGTGATGATAAAGTAGCATGTCAAGTTGATTTAGCTGGAAAGATCTCATCATGAGGTGAGCAAAGATACTTCTCTACTAATTTCACTGAAAATAAGAGTGCTATTGGCCGCACAAACCAAAATGTGAATTTTGTAGGCATTCAACATATGTTGAGGCACTGTCATTGATCTTTGTGTGTGAAATGCATGCCTAACCCCTTTGGGTGGCCATTCTTGAAGTGTGAGATGTAACACATCTTTATTTTGACTCATCCTTTGATTTATTTTGGAGTCCTTATAAATAGATTTGTTCTATCCACTTTCCCTTTTCCATAAGACTTGTATAATTTAGTATGAACATGTCTCATAAGTTTTTTATGTGCCCTTATTGCCATGAGATGTGTAAATGTTTAATGGAAACCTATTTTATAATGTATTGAGGTATATTTTGACTAGTGCAATGAAGACCACCATGACTACATCATGCATTTGTGCTTCATTACTAATTGAGAGCTCTAAAGGTTGTGGTAAAGGCACACGGGGATGATTTAGTGTTTGAACTTTTGAAGTCTATAACATCACTGAAGATTCGACTTTACATGAATTGGAAAAGTTTTAATACCTTGTTGACAAGCTAATGGTGTTTCTCTTGGTAAGTTATTGCCTTGGTTCTGAAATTGTGAATGACCAAAGTATATATTTGTGTAAATAGTTGTGAGTGAGGTGGTTGGATATGACCTTCTAGGAAGATGGCGGATGCTGAGATAGCAATGAACCACCAAAGATGGTGAGGATGGTTAGAATGTTACAGCATATGTATGGGGACCTCCTTATAAAAGTTGGCCAAAGCATGGAGGCCAGCTTGCAACTTCCTTGTGGTTTGACAATATGGTGTTGTCACAACTATCATCGTGTCCATTATCAGACCTTCCTGTATCCGTAACTTGGGAAAGAGTTTCAATGTCAAGTATGATACAAATTCTTCAGGTCAAGGCCTTTCTTTCTCTAAAATTGAGCAAGATGCAAACCATTGGAGGGTGGCTGCGCACCCTGATGAACCCCCCAACCCACATACCTCTAGTAATCCAAGCTGGAGATCCCTTTTTCAAGTTTGGAGATGACATGGTGCCCATGATGCCTTTCTTGTGGCCGGCCATAGGTGTACAGATACCCACAATGTGTACGTATGTACTTGCCTGTAGTGGCAAGTCCCAACAATTTTAATTATATTTTGCATATAATTTTGGAGTTTGTTTTACCAAACCCAAGTGTTTTTGTGTCAGATTTACCAAACCCATGTTGTTTTCAACATATTTACCAAACCTATGTTGTTTTCAACATATATGCCAAACCCAAGTTGTTTGTGAAATTGTGTACTCGGAACATGATTTTGAAGCCAAAATCGTGGTTTGATCACATGACTTCAAGAAGAAATTTAAAAACATAGCTTTCCCTGTGCACAGAGAACCCTCCCATCAGCCCAGTCACTGTTTGGAGAAGGCATCCCTCTACTTAGTTCCATTCACAAAAGACTTACCAGTGTTGTGAAAGGCGCGCCTAGGCGCAAGGAGCAGCAAGGTGCAGGTGCAGCACCTGAAGCAAGGCGAGTTGAAGAAGGCGCGCGCCAAGGTTTTAAAAAGTGGCCCCGTTACATAACGGTTGTGGTGGTTACCGCCACCCGTTACGGCCGCTTTTGCATTGTGGTTGAGATTCACAAGTGTGTCGACCGTAACGGCTGTTGTAGCAGTCGCAACGTTGCCGTAACGGCCGTAATGACGTGTTTTGCATCGTTACGTAACGGTTCGGAATTGGTTCTTTTGAAAAAAAAAAGAAAAAAAAAAATGAAAATGGGGGAAGAGGGATAGAGAGAGAAAGGGGAAGATGGAGGAGTAAGAGATAGAGTGAGAGAAGAGGAAAGATGAAGAATATGTTATTGATTTGTTGAAGCTGTAAGACCTATGCTATTCTATTCAGCTGCTATCATTCAACCATTTTGTTTGTGTGTCTACCTATATATTGTTTGAAAATAATAATAATAATAAGTATAGTCATTAGCCATTTGGCTTGATTAAAATATATATATATATATATATTTAGCTTCTTATTTATTCTCTTACTTTTGTCATTGTTTATTTTATATATAATAGTTAGTGATCGATTTTTTTGTAAAATATCTAGAAAACATAACACCTATAATTATATATTAATACATATTTTATACATGTCAATTTTTTTTTTTGACTAGTTTATTTTATTTTTATTTACAGGTTATCCAAAAAGAGAATGAATATTCAAGTGATCCAAACCTTTAAAAAAAAAAAATTCTTTATAATTTATTTTTAAATTTTTATATGATTACATTAGCATGTATAATTTATTTTTTAAAACTATTCAAGTTACAATTTGCATATACTTCCACAAGTATAATAATTAAAAAAATAATTTCATACATCTAAGTCCAATAAAAAAAAATTGTCACAAGCATAATATGGATTTATGGCATATAAAGTCATTAATTATTAAAATAAAATGTAAACAACTCAGTTTATAGTGATTTAAAAATATGAAATATATTGGATCATATTTAAAAATTTACAAGAATTGATCAATATTTATTTTAAAGCCCAATGAATATGATTATGGAAAAAAATATGCATATCGATTAGTTTTTTTCAAATTGTGCAAAAAATAAAAAAATTCACAGCTCCGATTACCGCAACCATTACGCTACGGCCTTTACACCTCACAACTGCAACCGGGCCACCACCACCGTTCCGGCGACCGCAACCACTTTTCAGAACCTTGGCGCGTGCCTTTTGCGCGACTCGGCTAGGCAAACAAAGGCGCAAGTCACGTGAGCGTTTGCGACTGTTACTTTTTTGTTTTCTGATTGAATCTAGCGGTTGATATCGTGTTTTTAAAGGCCTCAATCACTGAGGATTAGAAATCTAAGCTATACTAGTCAATACCCAGCCCCAAATCGATTTGAAATGCCCTAATCAATTTGAAAGAAAGAATAAATCTTGCGGTGTCTCTTCTCTTCCCTTTGGGTCGTCTAGTCTCGTCTCTAGCCTAAATGAGTTCTTCTTTTGCTTCTTCTTCGTCTCCTTCTCTTTTCTTCTTTGTTGCCTGGGTTCTTCTTCTACGTTTTTTTTGGGTACGTCTTCGACTTGCTCTCTGTTTTTTTTCTTCCTATTCGTTGTTGGCTGCTGGATTCTTCTTCTTCTTTTTCTTCTTCACTGTTGTGTCTATTTTCTTTTCCTGTCTTCCTCTTTTTTTTTTCTTCTTTGATGTTGTGTTGTGTTCTTCTTAAAATTTCTTGAATGTTAAGACTAATATTCAGTGTGCTTGGTTTCAATTTTCTGAATTCAATTTTTTGAAAATTGAGTTTTTTTATTTTTTGGTTTTTTTTTTTAAATTTTTAGTGAGTATTTTTAAAATTTTAAGCAATTTTTTTACTTTTTTAGATGTATCTTACTTAGATTTATCTAAAAAGTAAAATATTTGTGAAATTTTTTTTTAAAAAAATTAATAAATACACAAAAATATGAAAAATGTACTGAATTTTTGCTTTTTTGGTATTTAATGAATATTTTCAAGATTTTTTTCACAAATATTATGGCTTTGTTTGGTTTGACTTTAGGAGATAAGTTTTCAAAAAATATTTTAGGAAGAGAGTTTAGAAATTTTTATAGTTTGTTTGGTTGTATATTTTGAAAATAATTTTGGAGTTTAGGAGTTTGGAATGATTTGATATTTTGTTATAATTGAGTAGATGTATGTGAGAGAAAAAGTGATTAAAAAGGAGAGATGAGAGAAAAAGTGATTGATTGATGTGTAGGAGAGATAAAGTGATTTTTGGAAATTTTTTGAGAAAAATTATAAACCAAACAAAATTTTCAAAAATTTTCTTCAAAATCTTTTTTCCAAAGCCAAACCAAACAAGGCCTATACTTTTTAAGTATTTATGTTTGGTGTGTCTTAAAATTTTAAAAAAAAATCTTAAAATATTAAGAAAATTCAATGAAAAAAAAAAATACAAAAACAAAAAAGTAGAATTTTCTGAAAAGTGAATTTTGGAAATCAAAACCAAACAGGAGTGATTAGTATTTGTTGTATGTTTATGTTTTGGATGCTTGTTTGTTTGTTTTTTTTTTTGGTTAAATGTGGATTATTTTACCTTTGAAAATTGAAATACTATGTTATATGCACTTTTATGGCTGTGAGAGTTATTCTATAATTTGCCTCAATTATTTATTTATTTATTTTTAAATTGTCTTAGTACTAACATGCTATGAATTATTAGTCTATGTTAATTTATCTATTTTTTTACTAAGACTATGTGTCTTGCTTCAATAAAGCTTGCGCCTCGCCTTGCGCCTTGTGCTTAGGCCCCAAGAGACCTTCATCGCCTTCGTGCTACTTGAGCCTTTAAAACCCTAGAGCCTTCGTGCTATTTGAGCCTTTAAAACCCTAGACACTCCAACAATTTTTATTGTGTAAAGTCTACTAAGATAGTTTTTCTTGCAAAAGGACAAGAATACTATGCAGGTGCATTTTTATTAACAAATTTACCCATTTTGTTGAATTCAGTAGCAACCGCTTTCATCTAGTTTCTACAATGCTGTTGCGGTATGATCAAGTCACATTCATGATGCCATTGTCGATCACCAACTGCCTTTTCCTCTCTCTAAATCCACACACTCTCTAGAATCAGTGTATAGAGGCAGCACACCATGTCTGTTACACTCAAGTCCTTCACGCTTACAAACCCTAACCCTAGCTTTAGTCCCTTCTCAAAGAGAGCTTCAATGGTGTTGTGTCCCTTACAGACATCTCTTTAGTTCAAATCTCTCATCCGACCTCACAGAATCTCCGTTTGTCCGAGGGGACTCAGCCTTAGTTTACTTCCTTTGCATCGACATGGGTTTCGGAACTGGTCGGTGTTTGCATTCATAGCCTCGTCTACGTTTTTTTTGGGTACGTCTTCGACTTGCTCTCTGTTTTTTTTCTTCTTCCTATTCGTTGTTGGCTGCTGGATTCTTCTTCTTCTTCTTCTTCTTCTTCACTGTTGTGTCTATTTTCTTTTCCTGTCTTCCTTTTTTTTTTTTTCTTCTTTGATGTTGTGTTGTGTTCTTCTTAAAATTTCTTGAATGTTAAGACTAATATTCAGTGTGTTTGGTTTCAATTTTCTGAATTTAATTTTTTGAAAATTGAGTTTTTTTATTTTTTGTTTTTTTTTTTAATTTTTAGTGAATATTTTTAAAATTTTAAGCACTTTTTTTTACTTTTTTTAGATGTATCTTACTTAGATTTATCTTAAAAGTAAAATATTTGTGAATTTTTTTTTAAATTAATAAATACACAAAAATACGAAAAATGTACTGAATTTTTATTTTTTTGGTATTTAATGAATATTTTCAAGATTTTTTTCACAAATATTATGGCTTTGTTTGGTTTGACTTTAGGAGATAAGTTTTCAAAAAATATTTTAGGAAGAGAGTTTAGAAATTTTTATAGTTTGTTTGGTTGTATATTTTGAAAATAGTTTTGGAGTTTGGGAGTTTGGAATGATTTGATATTTTGTTATAATTGAGTAGATGTATGTGAGAGAAAAAGTGATTGAAAAGGAGAGATGAGAGAAAAAGTGATTGATTGATGTGTAGGAGAGATAAAGTGATTTTGGAAATTTTTTGAGAAAAATTATAAACCAAACAAAATTTTTAAAAATTTTCTTCAAAATCTTTTTCCCAAAGCCAAACCAAACAAGGCCTATACTTTTTAAGTATTTATGTTTGGTGTGTCTTAAAATTTAAAAAAAAAAATCTTAAAATATTAAGAAAATTCAATGAAAAAAAAATACAAAAACAAAAAAGTAGAATTTTCTGAAAAGTGAATTTTGGAAATCAAAACCAAACAGGAGTGATTAGTATTTGTTGTATGTTTATGTTTTGGATGCTTGTTTGTTTGTTTTTTTTTTTGGTTAAATGTGGATTATTTTACCTTTGAAAATTGAAATACTATGTTATATGCACTTTTATGGCTGTGAGAGTTATTCTATAATTTGCCTCAATTATTTATTTATTTATTTTTAAATTGTCTTAGTACTAACATGCTATGAATTATTAGTCTATGTTAATTTATCTATTTTTTTACTAAGACTACGCGCCTTACTTCAGTAAAAGTCCGTGCTTCGCCTTGTGCCTAGGCCCCAAGAGACATTCGGCTCCTTTGTGCGCCTTGAGTCTTTAAAAACACTGAGACTTACAATGGAGGGTTTGTCGGTGACCATTGGCTGTAGTTGTGATGTTATTTATACTGCACACGTATACCCTTTCCAAGCATCCTCTCTCTCTCTCTCTCTCTCCACAAACCCTGTTGCCATAAGTTTTCCCACATTGATCAACTCTTTCTGTATTTCCTTTGCTTTGTCCAAAGTTTTCCTCCTCGCCCTGCCGCTCCCTCCCCTGCCGGCAATGTGAACACATGGATTGCATACCATGCATCATGTGTTGTATGTATTGCCCTAGCTTTATTTAATTTTTTTCTAAATAACTTTGTGCTTGTAGGGAAGGAGGAAAAATTTCTTGTTTGTCAAATTTTCTTGCTTGTTAGATGGTGAATTTCTTGCTTGTTTTTATAGCAGGGAAAATTATATTTTTTGGTTAGAAAAAAAAATATTTTAAGCATGAAAATTAGTCCAACATAAAAATTAGTCTACTACTCTTTGTATGATTGTAGAAATTTTTAATATCAATGGAAGAACCTTGTTATTGAAGTTCACAATTAGGAGGTAAATACAATTTTGCAAGGTAAAATGGTTAAACCACTTGGCAGTTTTTGCTTGCATGTGATGCCCAAATTTTTTTTAAAGCCAATGTAATGAAAGAGCTATCTATTTATACACATAGAGGTGACGTAGCTTGAAAGGTACCTCTAGCTCTTATATTATGGAAGTTATTTTTTATTTTTTTTTCAACTCTTAAGAATCTGATTGATCAACTAGGGAACAACAGCTCCAGAAGAGTGTAACAATTCCACATTTTTGTTTAAAATTGTGTAATGATGACATCTTCCATGAAATCGTGTCTTCCATGAAATCGTGTTCCGAATATAAGACACTGATAAATGGGTACTTCCTCTTTGGTATATACCCACTATCGTAAAAAAAGATGAAGTCTTTTGCAGGGTTGAGGTCGCCTTGGACTACCTGGTAGTTCACTCCTCCCAGACTAAACGATCGCACACAATGACCAGGCTATAACCAAAATAGGTGTAAAAGAAAGCAGTGATTTGGCTTTTGAAAAGGACATTCGCTCTAAAAGAGCTTACTCGGCTTTTTTTGGAACTCATTTATAGGAGGTTTTTTTCCAAGTGGATTTTGGGATATTTTGGCCCTCTGTTCTAAGCTAAAGTGAAAGAGGAAGAAATGGGGCACGAGTTCTTGTTGCTTTGAAAAAGATCTAGCGAAGAGCACCAGTGACGTACTAAACACTTTAAAGAGCTCACGTTCCTACCTTGGCTACCGGTGAAGGGGGGGTATTGTTACTTAACCGAAGCCATACCTGAGTGACTTAGGAAGCGGCTTTGTCTTAGCCTTTCTACTTCTGCCTGAGCCTTTCATGGAGGAAGGGCTTCATACCATACTTGAGCTTTGGATCAATGTCCCAACCTCCACCCTTAGGCTTGTAACGAGACCCCCGTGCCTTCCTTTACTCAATGCTCCTGAAGTCGTTAACAAAAAGAAGAGCGTCAGCTCCTAACTCTAATGCCTCTAGGGAGAATCTGCACAAGGTCGAGGAGGAAAAGCTCCCCACATCAAGTCTACAGGCCAACGGACAACACCATCCCATCATCCTTTGATAATACATATAATCTTCCAAACAAAACTGCAGATTCATGTTTCTATTACATGAGTTTGATTCATATTTTTATTTTTTGAATTTGTGTGATTAAGACACGATTTTTGCTCGTGTTACCAAAACATGATTTCACTACCATTTTTGTGTCCAATGAAAGATGTTATACTCTCCTTTTGAATTGACCGGTTCTTTGTTTATAATTTAATATTTTACCATTATTTATTCAATAGTGCTAGGAACACTAACATAACAACAAACATACAATACATGCATGTGGGTTCCACCACTTGACATGAGACCCACCTAACATTGTGTTTAGTTGGTATATTTGTTAGTATTCCTAACATTATTGTTATTTATTTATTTTACAGAGTTTTTTTGTATTACTTTTTATTTTTTATATTTCCAAACTCCAATGATTATTTTGACTAATAATTAATAAGTGGGACCTTTTCTACTCACCAAAGCTGCCTACCCCTTGAGCCACAACTGAATATAGTTATTGCAACCAAGAAATCACAATTTCGCATTCATGCTAAGAAACGAGGAGGTTATCTGATGTGCACGTGAACAACAAATTCTAGCAACATGAAAGCGTGTGATTATTTCACGTTTTTCTTAAAATTGTGTTTTGGTTACACATTTTCATTGAAATTGTGTATTTCTTATGCAACTGTGCCGAAGCTGTGGGTCAGTTCCATGACAATAAAGCAATACTTGCTCTGCTTGAAGTCATGACTACCATACATACTTCATTGAAGTTGGGTTCCGAAAACACAATTTTAATGAATTCATGTTTCTATAACACAATTTTATTTTTATTTTTATTTTTATTTTTATTTTTTTTAAAAGTTTTTTTTTTTTTTTTTTTTTTTTTTGAATTCGTGTGATAAAAACACAATTTTGCTTCTAAATTTGTTACACACCAAAACATGACTTCAAAACAATATGGGTTTGGTAAATATGTTGAAAACATCATGGGTTTGGTAAGTTTGATACAAAATTTCTTGAGTTTGGTAAAAAAAAACACTATAATTTTGTGTTCATATAGCATAATGGCGAAAAAAGATTCATATAGACGCCACCTACGGGGTTTATTTTGGTTTGGTGCATACTTTTTATGTATTTGGACTTTCTTTTGGTTGAGGAACATTTTGCAAAAGATTGATTGAGCAAAAGTTGAGGCATTATATAAATTTATTTTGAATTTTGCATAGTTAGAACAACGTTATGAGTTTGCACAGGCACACCTCGTTAAAATACACTGCAACTTTGCCTATTTATTTGGGGGGTGAGGAATGGGTGGAAAGTGGTATGCAGCTGCTATGACAGAATGTTGCTCAATTGTGCTGTAGCACAGGTTATATTGCATCAGAGTCATAGTGTGCTTGCATGAATGACTTCTTATTGCGTAATACTTCATTCACCCATTAACTATATTACATCTCTACTTGCAGGAAGGGTCACCCCAGAAAGTGTTATCTTCAGCTTTGGGACTGTGCTTTTGGATCTTCTCAGTGGAAAACACATCCCACCAAGTCATGTAAGTCTTTTACTTTTAACAATCTTCAATATCTGGTCAGTTTGCTGTATACGCACTATCTCATCATGGTTAGTTCACCCAATTGAGACTAAGGCCAAGTTTGGGAAGACTAAATAAGTGCACTTTTTGACTTTTTATGAAATATGGGTTGGATTTGGGTTGGGTTTGAAGTGATGTGTTAGAGAGGTGATGTGACTTAAATAAGATGATGTAAAATAGGATAGTGACTTTTTGACTTTTTGGATTTTTTAGAGGATGCCAAACTTGGCCTAAGTTTGGCATAACACAAAAAAGTCAAAAAGTTAAAAAGTCACTATCCTATTTAAGTCACACCATCTTATTTAAATCACATCACCTCTCTACCACATTACTTCAAACCCAATCCATATTTCATAAAAAGTCAAAAAGTACACTTATTTAGATTATCTCAAACAACCCCTGAATTGAGCTAGTTAGAACTTGGAATCGTAGCCCAGCAGACTTGTAAAATAGTTATCAAGGAGGATATTTATTAGTCCACTTAGAATTGCTTCTTTCTCAGATGATGATGCAATTAAAAGCTGCTCACTTAAAAATTTGCTCATTCTGATTCACCAACTTGTTATAAACCTTTTATTTTCTATTTTCTGTTTGCTTTTCTGCTTTTTATTTTTTTGATGATTTTTAGTATCAGGAAATTTCTGACAATTTATTACCCCTCCCGCCCGAACCCCCCCAAACAAATCCTCCTTTTGTTTTTTTTTGGATTTCCTGCAATCTATCTCTTGTTTGATCTAACTGGTTAAATTAAAAATGCTAAATGAAATTAATTAAATGATATTAAATCTATTGCTGCATTATTTGTTGCAACAAAGTTTCCTGCCAAGAAGCTGAAAATGAGAAAGATATAATCTATGATGCCCTATAGCCTTATTATCAGCAGGAGATGAAAGGATATTTCCTGCATTGGTGCTCATGTGTTTTACTCCAAAGGTTACACTCAGCTTGTGGCTCCGGCATCATATTGTCAGCCCCAGGCCATTTGGGCCACATTTTCCATCCAGGTCTCCCTCTTGCCCCATCAAGGCAGCTAAAGGGGCTTGGGTGGATATGGAAGAATGTCCAGCTATGACAATCCATCAGCAGGGAACCTGCTTCTCAGCAAAGATAATTCCACTAAGCTGCATAAATTCCTACCAGTTATCTCAAGTATCATATGACAGTAAAAATCAAATGTTCAGTAAAATTGAGGCGACAACATAAATCTCCTCTGTAATAAATACACACTTTATAGAGGGGGCCTTTCTGTTTTTGTTGGACGGTTTACAGATTTAATTGCACGGATTATATTGTCAGATTCATCACTTCTGTCATTCCTTGCGCAAACCATCATATATTGGGGTATTTGTCATTATAATGGCTTACTAGGAGATATATGAGCTAATAAACTTAAGGTTATGTGATCTAGGAATTCTCAAGATTGAGTTGTTTTTTTACATTGGTGGCGATGAATTGCTGCATTGAAACCTTTTCTAACCTATGGGTGGACCATGGTATAGTCCTTGTGATTGTGGGGAGTTTGAGTTTTATATAACATTGGAGTACTTAAATTCTCCTGTGTGCAGGCTCTTGATATGATACGTGGAAAAAACATTCTTCTATTGATGGACTCACATTTGGAGGGAAACTTTTCAACTGAAGAGGCTACTGTAGTTTTTGACCTGGCCTCACGATGCCTGCAGTATGAACCTAGGGAGCGGCCAAATACCAAGGACCTTGTTGCAACACTTGCCCCACTGCAAAATAAACCTGATGTGAGTCCTTATTTTGCTTTCCAAGGTTCTAATGCTCAAAATATCTTTTTCTTAAATTGAGTAGTTTTGTAACTTTTGTCATGTAAAATCTGCTTTTGGTATACCAAGTTATCAAGCAGTAATAGTGCCTGATGCAATACTATAGAGGTCCCATGCAGATGTCTTTTGGTTACCAAAAAGTTTTTTGCCAGAAGGTCACTGCTGCTTTTGCTAGCCCTATTGGTATCTGATTTCTCTATACTTCCATGTACAACCATTTGGTTGCCCAAGTACTCATTTTACCTCTAGCCTAAGAAGCACGGACACTTCTAAGAAGGTGACGTATCTGTGTCGTGTCTGTGTCAGACACCGACACTCTTTGGACACTTCTCCAACACGTGTCCGACACTCTTCAAAGTGTGTCCTATTTTTAATTTTTTTTGAAAGACCTGGACACTTGGAGGACACATGTGTTCATCTTTTAGACACGTGTCTATCAATTAAACATAGGTAAAACTAATTATAAGTTTGAATAAAACAACTTAAAATACAACAATAAAACAAAAATCATATAAATTTATAGGAATTGGTGTCATATTACATTTTTTATTATCTTTGAATGAAATATTCATGTATATAACATATAATAAATATATAAAATTATATATTTCATACGTGTCCCCACGTGTCGTGTCTTGTATTTTTTGAAAATTGACGTGTCGGCGTGTCCGTGTCCATGCTTCTTAGCCTCTAGCTGTATCTCATTTCCAGTTGCCAGTTTCTGGGTGACGACTCAGTTGCAGAAGTTGCAACTTGCATTTATAGACTGTTTTCTTCTAAGCAAAATTTTATGTATTTCTTTTATATTCTTCGTTCTATTTGGCTGGACTAAATTTAATTTAGAATATTCAGTTTACACAAAATATTTCCACATAAGGTTATTGATTCATGGTTGTGTTTTATTTTGAATTTGCTCACTCCTGTTTTTGAAATGGCTTTCCAGAATTCTGAAGTTACATTTGGAACTTTGTAGGCATGGTCTTGGTTGGATATACACTGATTAAAGCTGTGCTTAGTTGATTAAAGTTTGGGCCATAAAAAGATCAAATATGCTTTTAGTTAGTGTTGAAGGTCTCAATTCTTTGCATGCAGATTCCATCTTATGTGATGCTAGGAATTCCAAAGCACGAGGAAGCACCACCTACTCCGCAACACCCTCTTTCTCCAATGGGTGATGCTTGTTCAAGAATGGACCTCACAGCTATTCATCAGATTTTGGTGATGACACACTACAAAGATGACGAAGGAACCAATGAGGTAATGATTTGTCTTAAGTAGATTTGTTGATGCCTCTTACCATTTCTGTGCTAGAATACTTATTTATCAGAATTTTGATTGGCATAGCTGTCTTTCCAAGAGTGGACCCAACAAATGAGAGATATGTTGGAGGCGAGGAAGCGCGGAGACTTGGCATTCCGTGACAAGGAGTTTAAGACTGCCATAGACTGTTATTCTCAGGTATGTACTTTGATTTGTGATGAGTGTACTGTTTGAATGCAGATAATGTCATTGTCATGCCATGCACACTGCTATTCAAGCTGGTATCATATTGGAATACTGAGATCCTGAATTAGGCAGCCTACTGTTTGTCATGCTTTGGCTGCTATAGTTCATTTATTTACTTGCGCTCTATTTGTTTGGGCTCATGTGTCTGATGTTTGGTACAACAGAAAGCGTTTTTCTCAGTCAACGAAAAAAAGTCTATTTAGATGGAAAATGTTTTTCAATTTTTAAAAAGTGGATAAACGTTTTCCGGATTAAGGTCTTACCAATGCCACCACACTGCCACCATCACCGCTGCCGTCACTAACACCTCCGCTGACGCAGCCACCACTGCCATTTTCACCCCACCACCACCACCCACACCAGCTGCCATGACACCCCCACTAGCTCCGCCGCCATCCCACCACCACTAATACAACCATTAATACATTAATTTCAATGACTGAAAAAAATCCGTAATATTTTTCTCCAAAACAAACTGACTGTTGATATAGGATTCCTTTTTTGACTATTAAATTGGGTAAGATTGTTTATCAGTATTTGCTAATGAGGTGCTGGGATAATACCTATTTGAAAATCAATGCCTCTAAATGAGTACCAAACATGTTCAAGCGAACCATAGATGCATAAACCCCGGAAAATGGTTGGAGAAGGATGAGGGGGAAATAAGTTATTTTCTGTGCTTGCTTCATATGTTCGTGTTGTTTTGTGCAGTTTGTGGATGTGGGAACCATGGTTTCACCAACTGTATATGCCCGACGGAGTCTTTGTTATCTCCTCTGTGACCAACCGGATGCTGCACTTCGAGATGCAATGCAAGCACAATGCGTCTACCCAGATTGGTCCACGGCATTTTACATGCAAGCAGTTGCCCTTGCGAAGCTGGACATGCACAAGGATGCAGCTGACATGTTAAATGAGGCTGCTGCACTTGAAGAGAAAAAGCAACGAGGCGGTAGAGGACCTTGAGAACCCCCCTTGTATTATTCTTTTTTTTATAAATTAGTTGGTGTTTTTTGTAAGAAAAATGCATTGGGTTTTATTGTACAATTTAAATGGGGGCTTGTGGTTGCCATTTTAAAGATGTATGTACCATAGGGGGAGATGGGCTTGTTTTTTGACATTCTACTGTTGTTAATGTTATTATTATTATTATTATGATTATTATTATTATTTTCCTTGTTTTTTTTTTTTTTTTGAAATAATCAATTGGTTTTACATGTGTATAACATATCATATAATATATATGTGAAATTCGAAGACCTGAAAATTTTGCGACTTCTCTTTGAAAATTTACCGTGTCTTTCATTGAGCCAATAATGATGGGATCCTTATCGGGAATTAGGATTACAAATTAGATAATGATATCGTCACATGATATTACTGTTACGTTTAATATTTATTTTATATGTTGGCTACCTAGTTTTGCAAACAAAATTATGGGAAATAATTTTGTTCCTTCTATTGGCAAAAATCTAAATTTCTGTCAGTGTGTTGTGTTAAAAATTCGTCTCATGTTGTTCATAGGTTAATGCCAAGATATTGGCTTGGCAAAAAATTCATTGTATTTGATTGGGAGATTTGGAGAGAAATTTAAAAAGGAAAAAGAAAAAGGGAAAAAGGGGTGTGAAATTAGATAAAATATAAGTGTATTTTATTCACATTTTATTTTTTATTTTTATTTTTTTTCTAAATCCCTTCTTAAATTTCTCAACTAAGCACAGCATTAATGTCTTTTGTTTTCTCACTCCTAAATTAGTCTCTTTGTTTATAGTTTGTGACTACACATGTTCTTGTCTCTTAATTTTCTCCTTTATTTCCTATTCTCGTAGAGATTTGAGGATTGGGAAAGAAAACAAATACATGTTGAATGTATATATATGTATATATATATTTTTATTCTTTTTTACTCACTATTCCAACTTATGCAAATAATTCTCCACTACCTGTTGTGTTCTCTCTCTCTTAACAATCTATCCTAGAAACTCTATTTAGATGCCACATGCAAGGAATTCTATTTAGTATCGAACATTTATCTCTCTAAAATTAAAAACCAGCGGCTAACATTCTCTCCATATCTCTCTCTGCTTTTGTAATTCACATAGAATATAGGTTACCAAGACCAACACACAGCTATTTTACTGTATTTGTTCTTAGTTTATCTTTACTTTGAAATTTTGACATTTTTCTTTTCTTTTTTCTTTTAAATTATCAGCTAGTGTTGTTTGTTTTTACTTTTATGCATGGGTTCTTGATTTTAGTCCACCAGCCGCCATCCGCCATCCATACGGTTTTCAAAAATAGGAATCTCTCAACACCAAAACAGAGCATCAAGAAAATAAAATAAAATAAAAGCAAATGATTCACGCTGTATTGGTTGTAGTTCATGATTGCCAATGTCAGTGGTGATCGATGTGAAGATCTTGCTGCATGAATAAGAGAGAATGAGAGTTGAGAAAAAGCATGAGAAAACACTTTGGTTGGTGTGGGATGTGATCGTTATGATGTTTGCGTCGGGAGGGTGGGCGATGGGCAATTGAACTTGATTTTCATGGCTGATTTTCAGATTTGGAGATGTCAAATCCCTCTTCTTTCTCAGACATTGTTGAATTCCATGGTTTACAACTCACGGTCGTGGGTGAATGTTGAGGGGTGGTGATCGATTGAGAGGCTAAGGGTTGAGGTTGGAGCTGCAACCATGTATTGGCGATGACTTCCAGCCCTAACAGCTCCCATCTTCAAAGCTTTTGAGAGGCAAACATTGGAGCTAGAAAAAGTGAGAGTAACGGTTACCTGGTTTTAAGGCCAGAAGGGTAAAATAGTGATATTGATGATGTTAAGATGAATTGTTAGGTCAATTAATGGAGATGAAAATTTGTTATACAAATATAAATTTTAAGAGGTGAAATGTAATTTCTAAAATTACAAGATAAATTGTATTTTCACTACAAACAATCAAAGGAAGAAATTATTTATTATTTCAGCTTGGTGTGATTGTTTATTTTTTATTAAATCTACCAAGCAACCTACTGCTGCTCATTCTTCTTCTCGCTCTCGCTCTGGCCCTTTTTTATTTTTTTCGGGGGGGCGGGCAGATTGTTAGAGAATACAAGAAACTTGTTAGATAGTTTGTTAATTACAAATATTGCACCAATTGGTTTTACATCTAAGATAAATAAATTGTGTAAAACTAGTTACACTTGTACAACACAAATTTTAGGTAGTATGCAATTAGGCAACAAACAGTTCAGCCTTGCCATCAATGAAGAGACTCATAAACTCTTCACCATCTACAGTTTCCTTCTCTATGAGCAGTTGAGCAAGCTTGTGGAGGATGTCAATGTGGTTTGTTATGATCTGTTTGGCCCTTGAATATGCCTTCTCTACCAGTTCCCTTACCTCTGCATCTACCACATCTGCAGTTGCCATTGAATAATCTTTTTGGGAGGACATCTACAATTAGAACATACAGAAATTAGATTTCATTTACAATTGTGTTTCTGTTCATGTTTTCATTTTTCAGAAAACACACAAAATTTGATGAACTGTTCGGAATAATTGTCTGAAAACTGCTTTCAAACAAAAAATGAAAACAGAATAATGGGTGTTTTCAAACTTTTGGTTGTTTTGTTTCTGAAAAGAATGAAAGTACAACCAAACAGACCCTAAAAAACATGGGTTTACATAGTACAGCTGAAAAGGCCTTAGCATCGGGAAGGACCAGAACTCCCTTACCTGTTGACCTAAGAAGGGATTTCCACCAGGTCCTCCAATGGCAATCTGTCCAATCTTCTTGCTGAAACCAAATCTCTCCACCATCTGCCTTGCCACCCTTGAAACTTGCATGAAGTCATTTGATGCTCCTGTTGTTACATTCTCATCGCCAAAAATAACCTCTTCTGCAACCCTGCATTAGTAATTGGATGAATTTATTTATTTATTTATTTATTCCTGATGCTATATATAGATCAGAGGGAGTTGGGCAACAATGGTAACTCCAATCAATCCCAAACTGTTTTTTTTATTAAAAACTACCCAATTGCCATTTGAATTTGCATTCAATTAGAGCTATTTATCATTCAAGAATGTTCCAAAGACCATGAATGTTCCTGGATTGCCCTAATACATCTTACTTTGCATTAATGAAAATGAGTTTGTTTGTATAACTAACCTTCCACCAAGTGCAACAGCCATCTGGTTCTCCAGGTAACTTCTACTGTATAGTCCAGACTCGAGCCTCTCTTCGCTAGGAGCAAAGAAGGTAAGACCTCCAGCTTGGCCACGAGGAATGATAGATATCTTGGCTACTGGATCATATTCCGGCATAAGTGCACCAACCAAAGCATGCCCGGCTTCTGCAACTCGAATTGCATACACATTGTCAACAAATCTAGAAACAAAATCAAAACATGAACACAAGATTTTGTGAAGACTTTATGTTTTATATACCGTGATAAGCAACAAGTCTCTTCTTCTCCTCTGAGACAACAGCATTTTTCTTCTCCGGTCCAGCAATTATTCTCTCGAGGGCATCGGATATCTCATCTTTGCTTATTTCCTTGAGGTCACGCCTGGCTGCCAGAATGGCTGCTTCGTTCATCAGATTCTGCAAATCAGCTCCGGTGAAACCCGGAGTTCTCCTTGCAATCTTCTCAAAATCCACGTCTTTCGCAAGTGCTTTTCCCCTTGAGTGCACCTGTTGCACATCGTTGTTGATTAGTAATCTTACTTAGGTAATAAGAAAGCCATAAGTAAACCCACGGTTTTATTTAACAGTAGCAAGATATGTATAGATATTTGCAATATGGTCACATATTGGACGATATCAACCAACATATCAATAAATAATTGAATCAGAAGCCCAAAATCCCGATGTGTAACGGGTGATACGATACATAACAGCTGATATTTAGAACCTTGATTAAACCCTAGAAAAAGGCATTAGTAGTGTCTAATATCCTTAAGCTCGGACTACAGCAATATTTCAAAAGTAAGTCCTAGCTACCGAACAGGTTGAAGAACACCACCAATATTGACAATTCGACTGTTCCAAGTCGTATAACCACCAAGCATCAATGCCTCATCAAATGAAACCAAGGTTCTTTTTTGATACTGGAAGACACTTGCTGAGGCTTCATAATTGTGTTCTACTAATTTGAAGCAACCAAATTAAATCCCGTCTGCCACAATGCTACACTTACCTGCTAAACTAAACCAACACCAACATGTTTACTGTAAAACCTCTATTACTATGTTCTGTTAGTACATATTTTACAATCCAGATGAATGAAGCTAACTAATAGGTTGTTCAAACTAAGTTTGAAAACTTAAAAATGAGCTAAAAAAAAACATTCAAACTTGGCATGTTTAGACCAATCACAAATGAGCTTTAATCATGTCGATCATGAGCCGGGTTTGAGTAACTTATAAATTGTTCATACAAACTTATCGAAACTTATCGAGCCAAACTAAAAAATGTAACAAGCTTCAAACTATATTCAAGCTTGACTTTTTAACATAACAAACTGACACAAAGTAAACTTTCAACGAACAGAACATGCTTGACTGGGTTAAGTTTGTTTTACAGCCTAACATTATTGACTGGGATTGAAATTGTTACTTATCACAAAAACTTAATTGAGTCCACATTGAGCTTTGTTTGCATATGTTTCAAACCAATCATCATGTTGATCAAAAGCAGTGTTTGAATAACTTTAATTTGTATACGGTCCTAGCTCCAAAAAGTGTGTTTGGTTTGAATTTTCTGAATTAAGTTTTTTGAAAATTGAATTTTTTTGTTTTTTTGTTTTTTCGTGTTTTTTTTTTTTTTAAGTGAATATTTTTAAAATTTTAAATATTTTTTTTAGTTTTTTTAGATGCACCTTAGTTAGATGTATCTAAAAAGTAAAAAGTTTGTGAAAAAATATTTTAAAAAATTATTAAATACATAAAATATAAAAAATGTACTGAATTCTCGTATTTTTTTTTTGTATTTTTGGTATTTAGTGAATTTTTAAAAGATTTTTTTCACAAATTTTTTACTTTTTAGGTATATTTATGTTTGGTATATCTAAAAATTTTAAAAATTACTTAAAATATTAAAAAAATTCATTAAAAACAAAAAAAAATACGGAAACTAAAAAAAGAAAGTAGAATTTTCTATAAATGTTTAACCAAACCAAACAAGCTACTCTTTAAACTATGTTCAAACTTAGAATATTTAACATAAGAAACCTATCTCGAACGAGTTTTAAATAAGTTTAAAATCGTTTTATAGCCATAATTTACATTTTTAACTGAGATGGAAACTAATGCACTTATCACAAAAACTAAACTGAGTCGACATTGAGCTCTCACCTGGAGGATCTTGACTCTCCCAGCAACATCTGGCCTGTCCACTGTAACTTGCCTATCAAACCTCCCAGGCCTCAACAATGCTGAATCAAGAACATCTGGCCGATTCGTCGCAGCCAACACAATCACACCCGAATTCCCCGAAAACCCATCCATCTCCGTCAACAGCTGATTAATAGTCTGTTCTCTCTCATCATTCCCACCTCCAAGCCCAGCCCCTCTCTGCCTCCCCACTGCATCAATCTCATCAATAAACACAATGCAAGGCGCTTTCGATTTCGCCTTTTCGAACAAATCGCGAACTCTCGAAGCTCCAACGCCCACAAACAACTCAACAAATTCTGATGCCGCACACGAAAAGAATGGAACTCCAGCTTCTCCGGCCACTGCTCGAGCCAAAAGGGTCTTCCCTGTACCAGGAGGTCCAACAAGAAGACACCCTTTTGGAATCTTAGCTCCAAGAGCTGTATATTTATCTGGGTTTTTCAAGAAATCAACAACTTCTTGTAATTCCAATTTGGCTTGATCAGCACCAGCAACATCAGCAAATGTAACACCAGTCTCTGGGACTTCTTGAAACTTGGATTTCGATCTTCCGAAATCCATCGGGCCACCGAGCCCGCCGGAACCACCAGGGCCTCCCTGAGCTCGCCGGAAAAGGAAGAAAAGTCCGGCAAAAGCAAGGAATGGAAACAACAAATTCCCAATGAAATTGAACAACCCACCTCCAGATTCACCCTCAGAAACCGAAATATCAACACCATTCATTGCCAGAATGTCGATGAGATCTGGGTCGTTGGGGACAATCACGGAGGCTCTCCGGCCGTCCACGGCGGTAAGTTGGAGGGCACCTCCGTCTTTGCTGAATCGGACCCTCTCGACCTTACCCTTTTTAACTGCGTTCAAGAACTCGCTGTACCTCCATTGATTACCCTCTGGGAGGTCAGAAATTGTCTGGGTTTGGGGTTTTGGGGCAGCCAAGAGAAGGTTCTGAGAAAACGGGGACGAATTTGAAGAACTGGGTATTGTGTTTTCAGCTTGAATTGTAGGTGGAGGATTATTGGGTAAGTTGGGGGAGTCTAGGGCTAGGGCTAGGGCTTGTGGAGTGATTGAAGAGAAGAGCAGGGCAGCTAAAGCGGCTTGTGATGGTATGTTGTTTAGATTATTGGGTTTTCTTTTGTTGTTGAGAATTGATTGAAAGTTTCTTCTTCTGGAGAGAAAAGGGGTGAGTTTAGCTGTTTTGGGGGTTGGAGGAGAGACAAAGATTTGGGTACCATAACCAAGGAAGCTTGAGGAGAGAAGAGGATTATTGGTCATGGAAGCCATGGATGAGGATGAATTTCTTCAGTTCTGTATTTTCTCTCTCTTCGAACCCAATCCAGAAGAGTGTTGGGTGGGGGTGAGGACTGTGGAGATGGGAAAATAGTGTTTGGAAGAGTAGAAAGTGAAATTAGCGTAGAAATTTGGAAGATCTAAGTGGGCTTCTGGAGACTTCAATCGGAGCCATAAATTTGATATGTTATCCAGTCATTTCTTTGACATTACGCCCCAAGAACATCGACTAAAATGACCATCAAAGAAAAAAAACAGATCGACTACATGATAAAAGAGACAAAAATAGAAATAAAAACTAACAAATCACAAATTACTGGAAAAATCAAAATTTTGATTTGGAAATTTTAAAATTAGTTTTTTTTTTTTATTCTTATATTTTTATTGTTAGTGAATATTTTTGATTCTGTAATCAAATTTTTTAAAGGTAAATTACAAATATATCTCATAAGTTTACTTAAAATACGGATTATCTCATGTAGTTTAAGAAATTACAAATATCTTATTTTTAGAATTTTTTATTTAACATAATTAATTGAAAAAAAAAATTATAATTGCCCTCTTATATAATAATAAAATTATATGAATTATTAATTAGAGTAATTACAAACATACTCCTAAAGTTTGATCAAAATACGAATCGCTCATGTCATTGTGAAAATTACATTTCCTCTCTGAGATTTTCAATTTCATAGCATATCGCTCATTTTATTAATAAATTATCAAATTAATTAACAGATTTTAATGATGTTAGAAATATGTTTCAATTAATAATTTAAGTATTTTTATTACTGTATATGAGAGTAATTATGAATTTCATTTTTTTAGTTAATTCTGTTAAATAAAAAATTCTAACAAAAGGATATTTGTAATTTTTCAAATCACAGAGGACAATTTGTACTTTAAGTAAATCTCAGGAGATGTATTTGTAATTTACCCAATTATTTAAATATATTTCTGATATCTTTAAAAATTATTAATTGACTTAATAATTTATGGGTAAATTACACTGACACCCCTATGGTTTTTATTTAATACAGATCTCTCCCTCATGTTTAAAAAAATTACACTTATCCGCATGTCAGATTCAAATGACATATTTGCCTCTTAGTTTTTATACATAGAAAATAATAAAATAATACTGATATTTTTTTTATGTCATTTCAAGAAAATAATAATCTGTATATTTGGTTTGAGTTTTTTGGATTAAGTTTTTTGAAAATTGAGTTTTTTATTTTTCATGTTTTGTTTTTTGTTTTTAGTGAATATTTTTAAAATTTTAAGCATTTTTTTTTTACTTTTTTAGATGCATCTTACTTAGATATATTTAAAAAGTAAAAAATTTGCGAAAAAAATATTTTAAAAAATTAATAAATACATAAAAATAGAAAAATATACTGAATTCTCGTATTTTTTTATTTTTGTTTTTCGTATTTAGTGAATTTTTAAAAGATTTTTTCACAAAAATATACTTTTTATGTGTATTTATGTTAGGTGTGTTTAAAAATTTTAAAAAAAATCTTAAAATATTAAAAAAATTAGTAAAAAAAATAACACGAAAAATAAGAAAATAGAATTTTCTAAAAAGTATTTTTGGAAAACAAAAAACAAACAAGTTGAATAATTTTCTTTGGTTTAACTCACAAAAAATTGATTTTTTTTTTGTATTTTTTTTATTTAATTTTTTTAATATTTTAAGCAATTTTTTTATTTTTTAAATACACCCAATCTAGGTACACTTAAGAAATATAATATTTTGTATTTTTTTTTAAATTCACCAAATATAAAAAAAAATACAAAAATTCAGTAATCCTGTAATAAATGTAAATGACGGTGTTTGATAATACTGTAATAAATGTGAATGAATAGATGAGAACGAAAAATGATGGTAGAAATAAAAATGAAAAATGCTATTCATATATAAAAATTTATAAAAAAAAATATCATAAAAATGTTGTGATAACGATATTGTTGTAAATATAAATCATATTTATGGGTGTTTTATTTTAAAGTGAAATGACACTATTAAGATATATCATTGTGTTTAAAAATTTTATACAAAATTTATGTTTGTATATCATCACTCAATAAGAATATATTTAGGTAGAATTTAATAATGAAAAATTATAAATATAGTCATGATGATAGGAAGAAGAAATGGTAGGAAAAAGGGCAAAATGGTCATTTAAAAAAATTTAGGGCATAACATCAACAATCTATGGAGTAATTTGTAATGAGATTACAAATCTCAATGAGTGGAATATAATTTTTCAAATGTGAAGGGAAAATCTGTATTAAACAGAAATCTAAGGGGGTGTCAATGTAATTTACCCATAATTTATTAATAAAAAGGGTCAATTGTTATAGAATTAGAAATTTTATGGGATGCAATGTAATTTCAAAAATAATATGGACAATTTACATTTTAAACAAACTTCAGAATGTGTATTTGTAATTTATCTATTTTTTTATTTTATATATTCATTTCTAGATATATTTAAAAAGTTAAAAAATTATGAAAAATCTCTACGAAATATTCACTAAATACGAAAAATATTTAAAAAAATCAAAAATTCAAAACATTTTTATTTTTTATTTTTTTTAAAATTATTTTTTATAAATATTTGAGAAATTGGTAATAAATCTAATCTAGTAATTACATAAAACATTAAGTCCATTGGATATTTTTTATTGGTAAAAGATCCGCCATTTGTGAAATAGTTTTGTGAGAAATCAGTTTATTGTTTTAAAGGATATTTTGTTTCTAATTTTACCCCTTGATTTATCTATTAACTTTTTTTTATCTGTTGACTCTCATTGACTATCTGTTCATATTTTTTCTCTTATCTATTCAAATTGTTTCCATATTTGTTCAAATTTTTTTTCTTCTATCTATTGAAATCTTTTCTTCAATTTTTTTTTCTATCTATTCAAATTTTGACTATTATTCATTTTTCCCCATTTTCCATTCAATTTTTATATGTTTTCTCTATCAATTTCTCTTTTTCTTTCTCTATCTGTTGAAAAAGAGAAAAAAAAATCATTTTTTGCAATCATCATCAACAACAATAACATCTCTCTCATCCTTATATCTCTCTCTCTCTCTCTCTCTCCTTCTCACTTTATCTGTAGGAATGAACCAAAAAAAAAAGAAAGAAAAAAGACACAAAGAAGGAACACCAATCTATTTCATCATCATCATTATCATCATCAACATCAACAACAGATAATAAAGAGAAAAAAAATATACCCAAATCTACATCTTCTCCATTTATCTGTCCAAAATCACAAAAAACAAATATATGAAGAGAGAGAGAGTGAGAGGAATGGAGTGCACAATACATATACAATACAAAACGAAGTACCAAGAATTAACTAGCTAAGTTTTCATTTTTTGTAATAGAACCAAAAAATGAAAAATTAACATATGTGAATCAAATCAAAATAATTTTATAATGTATGTACATATATGTGCGTGTGTGTGTGTGTGTGTGTGTGTTTGTGTGTGTTTGAGAGTTTCTGAATAAAGTGGTCACAGAAATCATTACATATGTACACAGATCATTATAGATCTATGGTCACAAAAATCGGCAACGATGACAGTTACATGGAGGTAGTAGTAGTAACGATCGAGATCTGATCCAAAAAATAAGAAAAAGATAATTCTCACCTTCACTGACGTTGACACCTTAAGAGAAAGATCCAGATCATCAAGGATGATGAGGTGGTGGTTGACGGCGAAGATGGTAGGGTTGGAGCAGAGTAAATGAAGAAGATGAAGGTAAAAGTGAAGGTGAATAGAGAAAATCCGATCCAGATCTCCGTAGGAAGAGATACTAGGGTTCCAAGAGAGAAAATGAAGAAGAGAGAGAGAGAGCGAGTGAGAGACAAGAGGGAGATCGGCGGCATGAGAGAGATAGAGAGAAAACACAGCGGCAATAAGTGGTGTCCGGTGACGATGGCAACTCGAGGCAGTGACAATAGATCGAGATCGAAGGAGAGAGTGAAATTTGAGTGAGTGAAAGGAAAAAAGAAAGAGAGATGAGATACGGGTTTGTCAGTGAGTGTTGTTTTAGGGTTTACTTTATGTACATAGAGTAGTTTGGTCACAAAGTGTTTGAGCACCTGGACCTTTAGATAAATAAAATTGAAATTTTGACTTTTATACTTAGGCCAAGTTTGGCAAGTTAAATATAATCCGGCAACGATGGCAACTCGAGGCAGCGACAATAGATCGAGATCGAAGGAGAGAGTGAAATTTGAGTGAGTGAAAGGAAAAAAGAAAGAGAGATGAGATACGGGTTTGTCAGTGAGTGTTGTTTTAGGGTTTAGTTTATATACATAGAGTAGTTTGGTCACAAAGTGTTTGAGCACCTGGACCTTTGGATAAATAAAATTGAAATTTTGACTTTTAAACTTAGGCCAAGTTTGGCAAGTCAAATATAATCCAAAAAGCCAAAAAGTTATACAAAAAGCAAAAAAGGTATTACTATTCACAAATAAAAAATATTAAAAAAATATTTTATATATTTTTATAATATAAATCCACTGACAACGTCACAGCCGTTAAGCAGGCCATCATACACTTCTCTTGGGGCAAAAAAAAAATTGCCTCCTTCAAGGCAAATAACTTTTGGATAGTGATGATCAGTTTGTAGGGGCCACCATGGGTCCCATTTTAATAATCTGAACCGTTCAATATGTAGAACGCATCGAGTAATATACGCCTGTAAAAAATTACGTTAATCGAATATCGTTAACGATATGATCAAATCAGTTTTGTATAAACAAAACAGATGGTGTGATAATTAACTGTTGAACAAACCTAATCTGATCATATAGCTATCGATATCTGATCAATATGTTTTTTTACAAGCATATAATGCTCGACGGGTTGCACATATTGAACGGTTCAGATTATTAAAATGGGACCCATAATGGCCCTCACGGGCCGACCATCACTGTCCAAAAGTTATTTGCCCCGAAGGAGGCAATTATTTCTGTGGAGACATGCTGCGCAGTCGCAGGAGAGCCGTACAATCAATTAATTTTCTTGCACTATACACTTTGTTTATACAATTTTTTTATTACACATTTTTTTATAAAAAGACAAAAAGTTAACTCAAACATCCATATTTTTTTCCTCAGCTTTTTAGTTCAAAAAGATAAAAAGTGCACTTATTTAGGACACCTCAAACAAGCATTTAGTACTTGTTTGATATACTTTATAA